TGAGGACAGAATGACTTCCACACTGCCCTGATTCTCCATAGTAGTCACTTTGACGGTTTATGAGTTCACAAACCTGTTTCAGGAAACTCAATTTATGAGAAAGAATCAGACAAGAACCACGCTGCTGGCCTGAGTAAAGGCCAGGGGAGTGGAAGGCTGAGCTCTGCTCTGACCAGTCAGTGGGATTTGGAAGAAAGTTGACAATTTCTCCTTTCTTTTCACCTATAAATCAGGTAAGTGCCACATCCTGTATCAGTCCTCTCTCAAAGAAGAAATGTTTACTGAACATTTATACATCATGCATCACGCAGAGACATCTAGCACGATAAGTATTAATACTCTTATTTTACTCCCAAGGAGCTGGCTAAGTAAGCTAAGGTTACAGAACAAAAAAATAAAAACCTGAACCCAGGATTAGAATTTAATTGAAATATATTCAAAGGCCATTCTTTTTTTTTTTCCTACTAGACCTCTCTGATTTAACATTCAGACTCTTGTACCAGTGCTTTTAGTTTCAAAACAATCCCTTATGTTTATTGGATGAAATAGTAACATCCTAACATGTTATAAAAGAGGGAGTATGTTATATAAAATAGAATTAAAATACTGTTACTGTGTTGTCATTCTAAGAAGTAGGATCATGCTGGGTGCAGGGGCACGCACCAGTAATACCGGCAAATGGGGAGGCTGAGGCAGGAGGAATCCAAGTTCAAAGTCAGTCTCAGCAACTTAGCAAGGCCCTAAGCAACTCAGCGAGACCCTATCTCTAAATAAAATATAAAAAGGACTGGAAATGTGGCTTGGTGGTTAAGTGCCCTTGGGTTCAAGCCCTGGTACCAAGAAAACAGAAGAAATAAGATCAATTTTTCAGGAAAGAAAAATCAGGGCTCTGAATCCCAAAAAAACAAATGCCGAATGTCTTCTCTGATATAAGGAGGGTGACTCAAAATGAGGTAGGGAGGAGGAGCATGAGAAGAAGATTACCTCTAGATAGGGAAGAGAGGTGGGAGGGAAAGGAAGGGAGAAGGGGAATTGCATGGAAGAGGGAAGGAGATCCTAGTCATGGTACAAAATACATGTATGAAGATGTGAATTTGGTGTCAACATATCTTGTATACAGAGATATGATAAATTGTGGTATAAAGGTGTATTAAGAATTGTAATGCAAATAATAATAATAATAATAAAGCTCATGTAAAAAATAAATTAAAAAAATTTTTGAAAATCAGGGCTCTGAAAGGGATTTTATGGGAAATTTGCAAAAACTTTTAAGCATTTGGATGAATCTACATGTGGGGATTTCTATTCTATCTGAAAACTTTCTAACTTTATAGAGGTTTTGCTCTACATTTTACAAAATAAGGAATTTTACATGTGTGTGCTAATAAGAAATACAGGCCTTGGAATGAAGACCCCATGACATTGAGGGGGAGCGGGCCTTCTGAGACAAAGATGTGGCTCCTTTATCTTTGGAGTGCAGGGAGCCTTTGTAAGCACCAAGCAGCTGATAGCATTGATGGAATGCAGAGATGGGTCCCAGGGAGGGAGAGCACCCCAGAGAAGGCCTCTGGGTTTAGGCCTGGAGTGTTTATCTCTCTAGGAAGCCAGACAGGAAAGTTTCCAGGATGAAGTTCAGAGTGCAAAGTGTCAAGCAATCTCAGCAGCTTTTGGGTGATGTCCCAAAGGAGCATTTCTGACATGTCCAAACAAATTTCCAAATATCGTCAACCCCATACAAATAGGCAGGAATATGAGTGAAACCAAAACTCTGTTTTCTTTCTCCTGTAAAAACTAGCCAATGAGGGGCAGAGAACATTCTGTTAAAAATGTCCTAACTTGGGCTGGGGATGTGGCTCAAGTGGTAGCGCGCTCGCCTGGCATGCGTGCGGCGCGGGTTCGATCCTCAGCACCACATACAAACAAAGATGTTGTGTCCGCCGAAAAATAAATAAATAAATACTAAAAATTCTCTCTCTCTCTCTTACTCTCTCTTTAAAAAAAAAAAAAATGTCCTAACTTTGCAAGATCCCTGTCCTTGTCCTCCAATCAATAGTTTCCCACCCAAACCTAGTCCTTCAGACAGCTGGAGGCTGCACTTATTAGAACAGCACATAGGTCTTCTCTCTATTGCCCGCCAAGTTTTAGAGGCTTTGAAATGGTGTCCCAGCCACCACCACAAGAGAAGCTACATCACGGACAAAATACAATACAGACAATTTTTCATTAGGGAGTAGGGATTTTGTTTGCTTTTTGTCTTTCCAGACCCTCAAAGGTTTCAGATTGAGCCTCTCACCTGGCTGCACACAAGCTGGAGAATGGCTTAAATGAAAGTATCAGGTTGCAAGTCACGCACTTTGGAAACTGGCAAGCCCTCTCAGACCACCCAGCTCTCTAAAGGGAACCAACATCAGATTCAGACAAGACAAGAGGCTGCCCCCCCCCCCAATGACCTGGCCCAGGGAAACAGCCTTTCTGGTGAGTTACATGATCCCATTGTGAGGGAGGGTTGTGTGCTCTGAAAAGGTGGCATTTGTCTGACTCGGTATACTGGTTGAGTCTTGGTTTTTTTGTCAAAGGAAAAAAAAAATTTAAGATATAATGGTTAAATTTTGAAGAAAAGAAGTAGGCCAAGTATTGAGGCCTGTTCCCAAAGCAAATGCTAAAACAGATCCCATCTTCCATATCTGCATGTAGAAGACTGAACCTTTTCCATCAGTGTCAGATATCAGAGTTAGAAAGATACCTAAACTCATTAATCCAACTCATTTCACAGAATGGAGGATGTAAAGCTCAGAATACTTTGGTGACTCATCCAAGGCTGGTTGGCAACAGCTAAAATTGGAAACACCTTGAGGACAAGGACCCTGTCCATACTATTCACGCTGGTCACTTAGGAATCCTTAGAAACTAGCACTGAGCCTGGCACATAGCATATGACCCCCAAATACTTGGAATGAGGAAAAGCGAGAAAGGAAAGAGCTTTAAAGACTACATCCTGCTCTTTTTACTTTAAATATTAAATGCCATAAAAACATGAGGTTGGGGATAGAGGCTGAGTTCTGGCTTTCATGTGTGGTCAAATTAGGACTTTAACCTGATGGACAAACCATTTCCTGTTTCTTCAATCCCTGGGGGTTGCTCCAATATAAATTGTTTCTAGAAAGAAGTCTCCTCCTGAAATTTTCCAAGAAATCCAACTCAGTTCAGCGCAACTAAGACCAGCCCCAGGAACAGAGCATCCCCAGAAAGCTGATAATAAATTAAAAACAGCCCCAGGTTTCAAGTGTCCAGGACAAACATTGCTTAGCGGTGCAGGGGCAGGTCAGTCTATAGCCCAGCACCTGACAGCAAGGAGACATGGTTTTGAGGTTTCAGATCCTTTTCAAACTCATGGGAATGGAAAAGCAGAGATGGAAAAGGGAGGAAGGGAAAAGAAAGATGAGACTGGAGGAAAAACTGGTTAAAAGCCCTCATTCGGCAGCCAAGCATGCAAAAACCATGTTGCACTTAAGTTAGTTTTAACATGAGCTCAAACTCAGGTTTATCATTTAGACATGAGATTTGGTATTAACCAAGTACATGACAAGAATTTTAACTGCTAAGCACCAGGTAGTACAATGTTTACCCAAGTGTGATGTCACCTGCTTCAGATTCACCTGGGCAGATTCCCAGCCTCACACAGGCCTAAAATCCTTTAGGGGTGAGCACAAAGAATCTGCTTTTCCACCAAGCCCCCAGGAGGTTCTCACCCACTTTAAGTTTTGAAGAGTCCCAGTGGAGAAAAAGAGCAAAGGTCCTTTGCATTTTCCTAGACATACACAGAAGTCACTTTTAACATGTGGAGGTGGAGATGGGGGCTAGGATGCAATCCTTCAAACTTAGCCAGAGCCCAGGATGCTAACAATTGTCCAAAGCAGAGACCTGAAAAAAAGCTGTATTAGTGGATCTGGTCTCCAAAACAGCTCTGAAAAGGTTAATCTCTCCAGCAAGATTTCCAGCCCATAAACATCAGCCAGCCCCCGGAAATGCTCTTTTTAAGCTTTGTAATTCACACCAGCAGCAAGACTGAAGGCAATAGTTTAAAAATAAGCAAACAAACAAACAAAACTAAAATCAAATGCCTTAAAACTAATTCCTTGTGATTCCAGATGAAAACTCAAAGAAATGATTTCTACAGCACCAAAATCTCTGGGCCAAATCTCAGTAATGAGCAGAAAGTCTAAAAAATCAGAAACAAAAACTTTAGAACAATGTGATTTCTTTGCCTCCCCAACTCTATCTCTCAAGTCTTTTAGAGGTCATATTTTTAAATAATACATCCAAATATAACTAAACTTAAGCAAAGGTATCCAGAAATCATCTCCAAATTTCTAGATTTTTATATTCTGGGGATATTGTCTGTTCTGTTCACTTTTGCAACTCTTTCCTTGGCTATTTCATTTAGCTGAGAAGAAACATTTTAACTTCAGGGAGAAAATACAAAATTCAAAAATGGTTACTTCATTGGTGAATACCATTGGCAATGAATTCAGAAGAGATTTTGAAATGGGTGTCAGCATTTGGTTTGCTAGCAGTGCAAGCTGCCCACCTTCTGAGTTAACAGGAGAATTAAACTTTTGCAAACTGCCTCTGCAGACTTCTTGCATTGTTACTCAGTGTTAATGATCATATGCAAACAGCCTCTGGGCATTCTGCTAACAGAACATTCACAGTCAGAAGGAGAGGAAGCCCGGAAAGCGGATACTTACAGGTAGTGGTTTTCCTTTCCAAGCCAAAAAGCTACAAACCCTTGAAACTGGCGGGCTGGATAAGAGTCACTGACCCGGTAATCTGGTTTAAAGGGCTTTGAGAGGAAGGGGGAGGAAAACTATCCCAGGGAAGGAAAAGAGCTGAAATTCCAGTCTTTCAGGTCAGCTGGGTTTGAGTTTTCTTTGTACTAAAAATCCATTAACCCACACAACCAAAAAAAAAAAAAAAACATAAAATTGAAGTTCACATACACGCTGCACTCCCTTTGCTGGTCTTCTCCAAGGCTGCTGCTGTGGCTTTGAAAACTTCCCGAGCACCCAGCTTCAGAACTCCCAGAGAGACGGGCATGATGAGGTTGCCTGCAACTGTCTGCAGGGAGCCCTAGCTCCCAGCTCCCTGGCTGAGAGCCACAGCTCGCCTGTCCCTTCTGCTGGTCGGGTCTGCAGGGACAAGCTGAGCTTTTGTTAATAGGTTGGTTGCTTCTCTTCCTAGCCTCTTCCCAGCTTGCTTTCTCACTATTAGTGATGTACTAACTGCTCTGCCACTGGCTGAGCCCAAGAAGCTCTCCCGCCTGCAGTAGAGAGGCGCGCGCCCGCGTACACACACACACACACACACACACACACACATACACACACACACGCACAGGGCATGCATATACACTCAGCCACACAACCACAGGCAAACACAACCACAGGCATGCACACATTGCCACCTGCACACTTGTGTGCATACATACTCGCAATGCTACGCACACATCCACTCCTATACACACACTCACACTCTTCAAACACACTTCTGTTTTCTTGCACCTCTTTTCTTTGAACAAATTCCCAGCCTGAAAGATTTGCATTCAAATTCGGATGAAAAGTACAACCTTGAAGAAGGAGGGGGAGTGGCGTGGAGCCTTTTAACTTTTGTTATGGCATTTAAAGGAAAAGAAGGAAGAAGGGTCTAGATCCTAGGGTGCTGTTTTTAAATACCACCTCAGTTCTTCATTTATCAAGATTTTTGTGTCTGGCTCTTTTGGAAAACCCACAAAAATCTTATTTTTCTGATTCTATTTGCATATAGTTTATGATCCCACTGATTCAGATATATGGCATGTCAAGAGCTGTTCTCTCAACAGAGATTCATTAGCTACACTTCTCAGGACTCAGTGGGTGGGTGAATCTTTCCTTAACAACTGTTTAATAAAATGATTCCTCATGTTTCAGCCCACCAGGAGAAAAAAAAAAAGAACAATGGCGTGTTATTCGGCCTAACTTTAACAGTGACCATAAATAAAGAAGTTGGAATGTTCTCTCACTTTGAGGGAACTGCTCATTTGATATTTATCTGTCTAGCCTAAACCTTAGCCCAAAACAGGAGGTACTAGATTTTTATATCCTGGAGATATCCAGTTCAACCAGAATCGTGCTTTTCCTCAACAAAGTCACTCCTTTCTTTAGAAGCAGTGAGGGGAAGAAAGAGGGAAATGGAAAAGAAGGAGAAGAAAATTCTGAGAGAAAGGAAGGAAGAGATGGATGGATGGGGGGAAAGTAAAGAAGAAAAGAACTGAAAAAGATGCAAAAGAAGAAAACAACTATTGTATTTAAAAAAAAAACGTGTTTTATGGATACTTTGGCAATGAAGGTGTGTGTACACAAAGTCAAGAGATTTAAAGTCCTAAAGAATTTTCTGATTCATTTTAATTGCTCATTATGGTTTTATTTCTTACCCTTTAAGATTAATTAATGACTCATATGTTATCACCATATTTAATAAGTTTATAAACAGTATTTATTTATAGTTTAGTGATTCTTTAAGTTTTACCCATTTGTTATCAGGTAAAACTTAAAGAATCACTAAACTATAAATAAATACTGTTTATAAACTTATTAAATATGGTGATAACATATGAGTCATTAATTAATCTTAAAGGGTAAGAAATAAAACCATAATGACAGACAAAAAAACACAACAGTAAAGAAAATTTACTCTCTAACTGAATCTAAAAATTGCCCAAGTTTTAATATCTCACCTGCAAAGAAATGGAGAGGGTTTTGTGTGCTGTGAGTTGAGGTTCCAAGTCCTTTTGAAAAAGGAATAACAGGCCACTGTGGGTGTTGCATCAATGTGCCTCTATACCATGGGTGGGGGACGGCTTATGAATTAGTTTCAAAAACAGAAACACATGTTTTGTAAAACTTCTCTGGGAAAAAATATCTTCGATAGTCTAAGCAATAAATAAACAAACTTAGATTAAAACACATTTCAAAGATATCTGCAGTAAATATAATGGTTGGCATGACCATGTTGGACATATCCTAGAATAGATCATCAAAATGTCCTCACGTCTGAAGTTCCATTTATGCAAGGAAGTCACTATTCCTCTTTTATCTTCCACAAATGGACAGGGGGGCTGTTGAAATACTACAGTCATCAATGTTAATCAATAAAGTATCCTTTGAACAAGTTGAAATGCAAAGCCAGGGTATTTTAAAAGAAACAACAAGAAAGCATAGGCTGCAGAACTTAGTGCTAAAACTTAGTGCTAGAAATCCTTTTATTTCTAATTTTGGTTAGAATGGTACAAAAAATAAAAAATGACAGGTGTGGGAGATTAGCATATTAGATTGTAAACATGAATGATTTTTGTGAATTGCTGTACAGCGTAGCATTCTCTGAGAAGCACAGGTAAGGCTCAGCAATGATTCATATAAAAGAATTAGGAGTGTGCAAAGAGGTGAAATTCATTCTACCATGAAAGTGGTTTTTCACTGAGTTTATAAAATCAGATGGCAATGTGAAACAATATTTGACCAAAGAAGAATATCAGCACAGGAGTAGAAAGTTTTTACAAACCTACACTGAAACATTAAAAAAAAAAAAAAATTAAGCAAAATAAACCGGGCATGGTAGCACATGACTGTAATCCCAGTGGTTCAGAAGGTTGAGGCAGGAGGATCAAGAGTTCAAAGCCAGCCTCAGCAACTCAGCAAGGCCCTAAATAACTCAGTAAGACCCTTTCTTTAAATAAAATACAAAAAAAGGGCTGGGGATGTGGCTCAGCAGTTAAGAGCCCAGAGTTCAATCCCTGGTACAAAACAAAAGGAAAATAAACACCTTCATGTGTCATAAAAGACCAGAAACACAGTTCAGGAAAGTGTAGGGAGGGAGAGGCTAGCTGACTCTGTTCAGAGCTGACCCAGTGGCTCAGGACTATCAGGGAATTAACCTCTGATGGAGGCAGAAGAGAGGCATGCTTGCTTGAAATCAGAAGAGTATAGACAAACTTCACTTTTAAATATAATTCAAATCCTAAATAACATATTTGCAAATCAAATCCAGCTCTGCATTTTTTAAAGAAATTATGACCAGTAAGGTTGTTTTTGTTTGTTTGTTTTTGGTTTTCAGGATTGCAAGGATGTTTCAAAATTAGAACATTCAACAATTTAATATATTAAAGGCGGGGGGAAGACACATCTTGTTGTTGTTGTTGTTTGGGTACCGGGGATTGAACTCAGGGGCACTCAACCACTGAGCCACATCCCCAGACCTATTTTGTGTTTATTTAGAGACAGGATCCCACTGAGTTGCTTAGCGCCTCTCCATTGCTGAGGCTGGCTTTGAACTTTCGATCCTCCTGCCTCAGCCTCTGAGCCACTGGGATTACAGGTGCGCACCACTGTGCCCAGCAAAAAGACACATCTTTATTATTATAATTTTGATCTGAAATGTCCCTCAAAGTCCCATGTGTTGTAGACTTGGTGGCCAGCCTGTGGTACTATTGGGAGATGGTGGTACCTCTAGGAGGCCGGACCTAGTAGAAGGAAGTTAGGTCACTACCCAACAAGGGTGTGCCCTTGAAGGGGCTATTGGGACTCCAGCCGCTTCTCTTTCCCTGTCTACTTCCTGGCTGCCATGAGGTAAGTGGCTCTGCTCCTGTCACACTCGCCACCAGGTTATTCCACCTTGCCACAGAGCCTACCAACCATGGACTGAAACCTCTGAAATCAGGAACCAAAATCAACCTTCCCTTCTTCGAGTTGTTAATCTTAGGCATATTGTCACAACAATGGAAAGCTAGCACATTAATAAGAAAAGAGACATTGAGTAAAAATCTATCACCTGTTCATTTAAAAAAAAAAAAAGCCAAAAGGAAGACTTTTTAATCTTTCCAAGAGCATCTTGCAGGCTGGGACTGTGGCTCAGCAGTAGTGCATTTGCCTGGCATGTGTGAGGCACTGGGTTCGATTCTCAGCACCACATATAAATAAATAAAATAAGGATCTATCAACAATTAAGAAAAAAAATTTAAAAAGGAAAAATTTCAGGAAAAAAAAAGAGCATCTTGCTACAATTTCACAAGTCAACATTGGATAGGAAATCTGAAGCAACATAGTATAAGAAAAAATGAAGCATGAGGATTGGAAAGGAAGAAAAGAGGCCTCTTTTTATGTGTAAAAGATACAAGTCTTTGTATAAAATATGCAAAACAATTCACTATTTAAAAAATTAAAGTAGTTCAGCAAATTTGTGGGACATAAGAAAAACACTCAAAGATCCATGGCACTAATGTGTGTCAGTAACAACTAATCACTAAACATGGTTTTTGGGTTTTTTTAATCTTTATTTTGTTTATTTATTTATTTATTTATTTATTTTTACGTGGTGCTGAGGATGGAACCCAGGGTCTCACACATGGGAGGCAAGCGCTCTACCGCTGAGCCACAACCCTAGGCCCAACTAAACATGTTTTTAAAAGACAGTTTACATGATAGCAACAGAACTTTGATAAGCCTGAGAGTTAATCCAAATTAATTAAATTTAGGTGACCTTTTTATGAAGAAAATTAAAAATTGTTAAATACATAGAAGATCTAAATAAATGGTTAGCATGTCTAATCAAATGAGAAGATTCACTTCTATAAAATCTTGGTTCTCTCCAAACTAAAATTCCAATACAATGTAACGGAAATGACAGGAAGTCACTATTTACACACACACGACAAGCTGATTTTAAAATTTATATAAAAGAGTAAAGGCCAAGAATGGCTAAGACAAAATCAAAGAAGACAAATTTAAAGATGAATGTTATAAAGTACATCCTAGTATTTTATATTATAAAGTTTTAGTAAGTAGAAAATGTGCAATTGACACAGTGACAGAAAAAAGCAAAGAAAGAGATTAGCAATGATTGAAGCAGCTCAGTTATATATAGCAACCTGATATACAACCAAGATCAAAATAGGAGTCAGTGGGCCAGGTGTGGTGGTGTACATCTATAATCCCAGCTATTCAGGAGGCTGAGATAGGAAGATCCCAATTTAGAAGCCAGCCTCAGCAACTTAGTGAGACCCTGTCTCAAAAATAAAAAAAGGTTGGGGTCTTCTCTAAATTCAATCCCCAGTACCAGGGGAAAAGTATAGAGGTCAGTGAATAAATCATGGACAATTCAATAACTAATACTGAACAATTGTTTGTTATGGAAAATAACACACTAGATTTTTACCTCTCACTATATATCAAAATAAATTGTAGTTGGGACAGAACTCACACAGCATAAAATTCACCCATTGAAGTGTCCATTTTACTGAGTTTTTTTTATTTCCTTATTTTTGTATTGATGAATTA